GAAGACAAGCAAAACAATACACAAAAGTTCAGGGAGAATTTTAAGATGATGTTTGGTCCAGTGGACTGGGGGAAGGGAGGGAAGCAGATAAGGTTGTTAAGTGGACGGTCTTAAAGTTAGTGACAGAAAGTTTGTGAGCTCCTTGTACTTGTTCTGAGAGGGGATAAATAAGACAGGGGAGAAAGGTCTAAAAAGGATAGTTTATTGTAGCTGCAGAAATCATGATGAGTGGAGAGCCACAGACCATACTTTTGGGAGTTTGAAAGTGTAGTTCTAAGAGAATTGGGATAAGAGTTTTTGTTTTCCCCAAAGACAGAATACAGGAGGTCAGACTGGGAAAGGGTTTGAGAGTGGACAGTGCAACGTACAAGTGTTCAGAGAATGACATAATGGACACAGCCAAGGCATGGGAGATGATAAAGTCAAAGAGACAATTGTAAGCATATTTAACAGAGTTTAGATGCAAGCATTTTTCTTAATGGTTTAAACAGTTAATAAACATGCAACCTTTAAGATAGTGGTACAATGCATTAAAGGATCCTGCACTTTTCATAACATTGTGTGAAAAAATGTCATCTGATTTAGAGGTGACATTTCAATGCTGTACAATGGCAGTGGAGGCAACAATATGACACTTTCATTTTACAAGTCTACTGATCAGTCAACGAAAGTACAATTTGCACTTTGTGGAAAATGTTCCACAGTTGCACAGCGCCAGGGAATGAGCAGGAATTTTAAAAAAAAACTGACCCAAAGCAGCACTTTCCAATTTGGAGAAATGTTACAAAGTATCAGGGGTTTAGTGAGAGACAAGAAAAAAATCACAACTCACAAATTGGGGGCATGATTACTCAAAATTGTATCCTTCTGGTGCAGTAGAAGGGAGGATCGGAGTTGGAAAAGCAGAGGTATAAGCAACAAACAGCATTTGTAAATGCTGTCAGCAAATGCGGTCGGCACAACATCGTGGGCCGAAGGGCCTGTACTGTGCTGTACTGTTCTATGTTCTATGTAAAAGGTGGCTGTGGCCTAGAAATTGTTATGAACCAGGATTCTGAAATCAATATTTGGTGGTGGAGGTGGATGAACACTTTGCCCACCCTATGGAACAGAGTTAGATTAGTTAAAAAGTGGCATGTTGGAGAAATTGGGAGCTTGTGTAAGGTGGTCCTCAGGTTTATGCGCAGCATGCCCTGAAAATAAATCCCAATTTCAGAGTGTGTCACATTATGCTGTACCCAAGTGGAAATCTATTTTTGATCTGATGCAATCTAATAAACAATGCTTTTTTTGTCAGCCTTGGCTCTGTGCTAGAATTCTCACTTCCAGGTTAGAAAAGCATGTGTTAAAGCTCAAGTGCTTTAAATGTTGAGCACATAATCTAGGTTCATGCTTCTTTGCAGTTCTGACGGAATGTTATGCATTCAAAGATACTGTCCTTCAGATGAGACATTTAACAGAGACTTAGTTTGACTAATCAAGTAGGCAACAAACCTACAGTCCTAGTTCAATTAGACAAAGGACTTTTTCCAGATATCTCACAAACAGTGCCTAAAATCAGAAGATCTGGTCATTTATTATTATTGTTAGTGTTTAAATTGACTTCTCTGCCCCCTACTAGTGACTACATTTATAAAGTACACCATTGGCTGTCAGTGCCTCAAGTCATCCTGAGGTCATAAAAGCTGCCATATATATGCCAATATTTTCTTCTGGTAATGGCAAACATTACACTCACCATGTTTCTACACACAAGGCAGAGCAGACTTCGGTACTCCAAGACAGTAAAATAATTCTCAGGCAAGCTAGCGTTAGTAAACTACTTGTTTGTTAATCTTATTACTGTTGTATAATACCTCGCAGACTGTGTATCTTCTTGGAGGTAGACTTTCCATTAGTTTTATCAGCTCAATCCAGGGTAAAATGGCAGAGCCAGTGCAAAAGATCACAGAAACTCCAAGGTAGTTCAGTGGAAAAAAAATGTTTTCTGCTAGCTTTAATATCGGCTTAAAAATAATTATGTCAAATCCATCACTGTCCACAGAACTAGCATATCCCCATATTGGAATACTGAGGATGGTTTGAGTGTCTTCACAATTTTACCTCTTCAAGGAAGATCTCCAAATTAAGATAATTTTGATAGGCATACAGGTATCAGTAGACACGTTTTAAAATAAATTTATATATATTGAAAATATTTAATTTACTAAGAAACTGAGAAAATGTACACCAATTCAAATAGATCAGAATTTAATTTATTTTTAGCAATTTATTTCAGGTTATAAACAGTTGGAAGACGAGACACTTGCTGCTTTCCGTTGTTCGTTGCCATTTTCATGTTACTACTTCAATAAATAGATTTTTTGAATTCAGAGAAACAAAATTATATTTTTATTATGCAGAGCTATAACAGTATATGGCAAAGTTTAAGATTACGGAATGTAAGTTACCCAAACTATTCCATAACTGGCAAGACATACACACACATGGGGCAGTACAGTGGCTCAGTGGTTAGCACTACTGCCTCACAGCACTAGGGACCTGGGTTTGATTCCACCTTTGGGCAACTGTCTGTATGCAGTTTGCACATTCTCCCTGTGTTTGTGTGGGTTTCCTCCAGGTGCTCTGGTTTCCTCCCGCAGTCCAAAGATGTGCGGGGTAGGTGGATTGGCTATGCTAAATTGCCCGTAGTGTCCAGGGATGTTTGGGTTAGACATGGGGAAATGCAGCAATAGGGGAATAAGTCAGGGTGGGCTGCTCTTTGGAGGGACAGCATGGACTTGTTGGGCTGACTGGCCTGTTTCCACACCGTAGGGATTCTATGATCTGATCTTGTATATTCCATTATTGCTGCTTGATCAAACCAAATCCCTGAACAGAAGAAACTGTTTATCCAGTATGTCCACAAGGATTGACTCAGTTATACCATAACCTACAGCCAAAGTGACGTCATGATGTTAACATGGTCCAAATTTTATAAATTTTCAGTTCATTCAGGGTTGATCATGTTGTACTGGCCTGACTTTAAACATGTAATCTCTAGTGTTCGCATGTTATATCAGCATGACTAACAAATACAGAAAGAACTGAAAATCTGGCAGCATCTGTGGAGAGAGAGCACAGTTAACGTTTCGGGTCCAGTGACCCTTCTTCAGAACGGGTTTTAGAAAATGCATTTTCTTCACCACACCTCCCCACAGATTAAAAGCCTTAAAACTGTTTTCTGCACGACTGCTCAGGTATGTCTGAGAACAGCGAAGGTGTCTGTAACCACGTGCTCATCTTCAGATTGCTCCGTGCTCTGTGTTAATACAAATCGACTCTATTTTTTGTTTTAGTTCGCCATCCCTGCAGATACTCGTTATTGGAAGTGAGAAACAAATGCTGGTCAGCCCCAGCCTAGCCGGTGTTCAAGTGGCAGGTAGGACGGGAGAGCGAGCAAGAGGAAAAAAAAGGAACAAAAGCATCATCGCCACTGCAAGAGGACGTGAGAGACGTGACCTGAGAGAATGAGGCGGTGAAGGGTGCTCTGTCTCCCCCAGAATCATGAGTAATCCGGCGGCGGGGGCGGGGTAAATTACAGCAAGAAAGCGGAAATACACGGAGAGAAACCGAGCTGGCTGATGCACTTGGCCGGGCTTTTTGTCTCCTTACACAAGGACGCAGTTTCAATCTCCCTGGCAGCGTCGAGCTGCAATGTTTGTGTCACAGCGGGGAAGTCGAAGCTGAGAGCTTTCACATCAAACATAGCAAAATCAATGGGTGGCCGTGGGAAACACGCTCACGGCTCGTCTCCCTCTGGCCAGTCTGCTAGGCAGAAGGGTTTATAAATTGGGATAGCAGTTGATCAGAGAGCTTTTTCAATCCATTACATTAGATAACAACCTTTAAAGTGTTTTCAATCTATCGAGAGAAAAACAGACAGAAATGAACCCTTTCTGTCTCCACGCTAAAACAATGGCATTGCATTTTTCCCGGGCCAGTCCGGACAATGGGCGCCTCGGAGGAACCACAAGGCAGTAATGTAATCAAATGGTGCGAATACTTAAAAAAGGTCAAGCACTTTACAAATCCAATCGTTATTTTACTAAAAAGTGTTCTGTAGGGGAATTAGTGGAAGTAGTTTTACTTGAGGGTTCTATTTGTCGCAGTTTTTCCGTGCACTCCATCTGATTAAGTCTTCGCAGAAAGACAGTGTAAGGTAGATACTTTTTTAAAGTTGGCCGAGAGACATTCTGCAGTTCAGCACAGGGGAGCACCACAGGCGAGCAACGAAACCATGCTGTGCTGAACTGGGTCAAATTCAATGAAACAAACGCTTCTCCGGCCATTTCCTCCTTGGGTCGTTCAGCACTGTGACCCCCAGCCCACAGGGAGAAGGGGAGTTTGCCCACGTTAACAAAGACGGACAATTTGTAAGGAGCAGCGAGTATTTCTACCGGCCTCTGGCTCCCGGAACCAACCCCTCGCCATTTGCACGTTGTGTAAGATGCTCGTGGTCACCTTCCCATGAGACGAACCCACTTCCCAATTCAAAAAAAAAATCCACCTTGCATATTATCATCATCAAATATAGTCGCAATTTGGTCGCCGGAGCCCACATCTCACCTCAACACCCTGCTAAATGCGATTTTTTTTTGGTGGTGGAGTGAAGGGAAAAATCAAGGATCTGGGCCACGGTATTTCATCTGTTACACAATGCTGCTCTCAGTAACCTCCAAATTTAAGGTGTTAATAGGAAAGCGAGGATCCAGAATACATATCATCAATACATATACATATCTATGTAGCGCACCTCACCGGAGATGTACAGACCTGCTCACATAAAAGACGGATTTAAAACGTGAATTTCGAATGCTGAATATAATTTAAGATATTGATGAGGCTTATACAGTCACCCTACACAATATATCCCCCTTTGTGGCATTTGTTTTAGAAAAGGTACGCAGATGACCACAATGTATTCTCGAGCTATGGATTTATAGGCTGCAGATCCTTACCTTGGGGTTTTAAATTGTTGCTCCCGGCACGATGAGACTTTGCTCCAGATGATGCTCTCCCCACGCACTGCTCTTATTCACACTGCTGCGTCAGGCCGTGTGCTTGCAGCTGGTTCCGCTGGGTCTTAGTGGCCGGACCGTTCATTTCCCATACCTCCTAATGGGATCAGCTCCCGGCCCCAACGATAGTCTCAATTATTCAGAACAAACGCTGTCCATTCGTTCGAGCGATAAACAGAAGAGAAATATTTCAGAACGCGACAGAGAGAGAGACACAGAGAGACAAAAAGCTCATACTTCCGCCACTTGTCACTTATCTGATGTACTAATGCAATCATGAGTTTGGAGCAGGTCAGACAACTTCCTGACGGAACTTGTTTTCCCCTCCCTTCCATATGCACCTGAGGAAGATCAGAAATAAAACGAAAGCTTAATGGTGCTACTTCCGGAAGTGGGGAGGCAATAGCCTAATGGTATCTTCGCTGCAACAAAAACAAAGTTGATGGAAAAGCTCAGTAGGTCTGGCAGCATCTGTGGAGGAGAAAACAGAGTTAACGTTTCGGCTCCGGTGACCCTTCCTCAGTATTTTTGCTGGACTGTTAATCCTGAGACCCAGATAACGTTCTCAGGACTTGGATTCGAATCCCGCCACGGCAGATGGTGGAATTTAAATTGAAGAGAAACAAAATGGGTTGGAAGTTACAGATTGAAATCTTTGAACTTTGAGTATAGAAGGCTGTAATTTATGTAAATGAAAGATGATCTGCTGGTCCTCCAGGTTTTGTTGAGCTTCACTGGAATTTTGCAAGAGACTGAGGACAGAGAGGTTAGAGTGGGAGCAAGATGGTGAATTAAAGTGACACGCTGTTGGAAGCTCAGTGTCACATGTTGGCACTGAGTGGATTTGTTACTAATCTCCTTCTAACCTTTAACAATTCTGTCGTTCTGTTAATGAGCATTTTCTCTCCCCAGTGAAATAGGAATGCACTGGCAAAAAACCATACCATCTACAGCAATGTTATCTATTGAGGTTAGCACGCCAAGTTCCTGGGGTTTGACTGACCTAGGCCCTTGGATGCAAAAATTTACAGTGGGTAAGAATGACCCAGCTGTGCTATCTTCTACATAAATCTTCCAGATAATATCCACTACCCAGCTAACCCAGGTAGTAGCTATCAATATCTTCATGATAATCAATTTTTATGCTTTCCAGCTTCATCTAGGCTACAGCTGGATAATATATACCCTCTCACCCAGTGTTACTCAGTGAAGCAAGCCAGTGACTGATCTGCCAGAGCAAATTCCTTCAGAACATTAGCAGTATTAGAGTCATAAAGAAATACCGTATGGAATTGTTACAATATTTTAGAGTTCTATTGTACAGCTGACTTTACAAGGAGCAAACAACTGTATGTACATAGCCAACAAAGTCTATACCATCAACATAATGACGTAAATGGATAGGAAGAAGTATTACTCAATGTCCAACTGGTCTTTCATTATCCAAACAAATTTATGTTTGTCAATGCTACCCAGCAATTTACATGATGCACCTGTTTTATTTTACCAATTATCTGTGGCAGTTTTATTTGAGGGGAAAGTTAGAGTGAATCCCCAAAGACCCTGGACAGAAACAAGAAAAGTGCTGGAGAAACTCAACATACCTGTGCAGGGAAAAACAGGTTTGTTTGACTCCAGCATGGCTGTCAGATCTGCTGCGTTCCTCCAGCACTTTCCATTTTTATTTCAGAACTCCAGCATTCACAGCATTTTGCTTTTATTTGAGTGTTTAATTCACTGCCACTTCACCTCGTGTGCCCATTTTTAAAAAGGTCTGCCATTGACTCTGGTAGGATTTCTGTTATAATCTTTCACCTTGTTTACCTTCATTACTTTCTACCTTCCTCCTAGTGTTTGATAAAGTGTTTGTCAAAAGTTACTTTCACAGCTACATCTCCTTCTTCAGTAACTCTCTGGCTTCACCATACCCCACACAGTTTCCAATTGAAGTTCCATCCTTTATGTTTCAAATCCACCCAAGATTACAGGAATCTCTGATACCTGCAACATTCCTAAAACAACTGTTTCTGCCACATCTTCAGATCCATATTCAATGCTATGCACCACCACATGCACACTCTCGGCTTCTCTCTTCATCAGCACCACCTCCCAATATCTCAAAGCTGTCCCGGTGTCCAATTCCATTTTGTTCTTTGTCTCATTCAATGCTTAAACAAAGAAAAATTCTCTTCTTTTCAGGAGTTAAAGAATGCAAGATTCAAAAATTCCCAGGTACTGATGCCCCTCTGGAGTTCTAACTACCTCCCTTTCTCTCCAACTCCATCCCTTCTTGCATCCCCTGTCTTGTCATTTAATTGCTATATTCCTTGACCTTCCCCTGTATGATGCTGAATAATCTGTGCTCAGCAAAGGACGTGGTTTTATCCGTTTACAGCACCACCTGAAAAAATTTCAGGCATGACATGATATTGAATTCTTCTGTCATCTGCCTTCATGCCACTTCTTCTAATCCAGCCCCATAGATCCTTTCATCAGTCTTCAGAATGACTTCTCCATCTGGGTCAGTCCTTCTGACCTTTTACCTGAACTTGATCTCATCATTGAGAACTGGAGTTCCAAAGAAGAATTATGCTGGACTTGAAATACTAACTCTTGTTTTTACCTCTTCCGTTGCTTGATATGTCAGGTACATTCATGGATGCTAACTAACCATCAGTGCTGTTAATTCTCTCCTTGGTTCATAGCATAGGGCTTATGTTCCCTGCCTTAAAGCATTTCATTCTTTGAATTCTGCAGCATCATTTTACTGAGTAAACACTTTGATTTGCCCACTCCATATTTCAAATGCTCAGCTGCCTCCTAATTCCAGTTAATTAGGTTGACAGAATTGCTTAGGGGATTAGTGTTTCTCCATTTTCATTGAGTAGGAAACTTGCGCAATTGTCAGCAGACAAGCTTCAGTGACTTCTTCCAAAAATATTTGTCATGCACAGTCAATTCAGGAATGGCACAAGAATAACAATTTCTAGGATTTAATATCTGTTGCCCATAAATATTCAAAGAGAGCCACTGGTTATTGGAATGTGGAGTTGAAATCGTGATCACATTAGCCATGATCTTACTAAACAGCAGAAAAGGCTTGAGGGGCCTAGTGGCCCAATTCTGCAGCTAATTTATATGTTTGTATTCCTGCACAGCCACCATGGATGAAAAGTATGATATACAGATAGGCTGTTCCAAAACCTTAGAACTCTTAGTTTAAAGCCATGGTTTCATATTTGTAGGAATTTCAGAAAGTGAAACTGTAGATTTCAGAAAGCTTTTTTTGCAATTACATTTTTTGGTTTACTCCCAACTTTTGTATTTTTCATATACAAGATATATAGCCTACATGGTAGACAGGGGATATCAGCAGTGGTCTGTGAGTTCATTATGTTTCTCATGACCAGACATCAGAATTGTGTTTGCTTGTATTTGTTAATCTACTGACACATTCAATAGATCTGACATTTTCCATCAGCCTGTGAAATACAGTGCATTTGTGGAAAGTAGGTTCATGAAAATTAGTTACTGTTATGATCCAACACTTGCATCTGAACCACGAACAGAACTGATGGTTTTTGAAACAAATCGTTTGAATGAACATTGAGAATTTGGTTCTGGTTTTACTTTTGTATGAAAGACAGGGAGTTATATAAAATTACAAACTAGGTTTTTAGGGTAATGAGACCAGAGGATGGAAATCATGGAATAATAGAATTTTTATAAAACAGAATGAGGCCATTCAACTCATCATGTCTGTGCTATTCTCAGCACAGGCAATGCTGCTAGTGTCACTCCCTTGCCGTTTCCTGTAGTACAGACAGATTTTTGTTTTCTCTTAAAATGTCTATCAAACTCTTCTTTCCAGCATTAATTGAATATGCCTCCACCAAACTTTCAAGACAGTATTTCGGATCCTAACCGTTGGCTGATTTAAAAGATTTGACCTCATGTTATTGTTTGCCATTCACCTTAAAAGTGTTTTCTGATTCTCAATTGATCCATTTTTTTTCACTAGTGGGACGTGGGCATTGTTGGCTCGCCAGCGTTTATTGCCTGTCCCGAACTGTCCTTGAGAAGATGGTGATGAGTTGCCTTCTTGAAACACTGCAGTCTATATGCTAAAGGTTGAGGCTTTGTAGCAATTGATTTAACTGAGTAGCTTGCTAGACCATTTCAGAGGGCAGTTGAAAGTCAACCACATTGCAGTGAGTCTGTAGTCACATATAGGTAAGACCAGGTAAGGATGGTAGATTTCCTTCCCTGAAGGATATTAGCAACCCAGATGTGTTTTTCTGGTCAATCAGCAACGGGTTCATGGTTGTCAGTAGATTCTTAATTCCAGATTTTAATTTATTGAACTCAACTTCCACCATTTGCCGTGATGGGATTTGAACCCGGGTCCCCAGAACATAAGCTTCTGGATTAATACTCTCGCAATAATATGACTAGGCCATTGTCTCCCCATGTTTCTACCAATGGGAAGAGTTTCTCCTTATCTGCCCTGTCCAAGCCTGTCATGATTTTAAACACCTTTATCAAATCTTCTTTCAAACTGCCTGTCTCTCTGGTGAACAATGCCAGCTTCTCTAGTCCATCCACTTAATTGAAATTCTTTATCCTTACAATCATTCCTTAAATCTTTTCTGCACCTTTTCTGAAGCCTTCATATTCTTTCTGTCATTTGGCAATCAGAAATTTAACCGAGTACTCCAGTTGTAACAATTATCGGGTCATCTCCCTGCTGGTCATTAAAAAAATGGTATTTGCCCATGTTGCCTTTGCCAGACTTAAGTTCTTGACAGAATGCATCTACCTTGAATCTGTGTGGTTTAAGACAAGAAATTTACAAATGTCTCAATCCAGCAGCTGCTAGAGAAATACCGTGAACAATGGAAAACTGTGTATGTGGCCTTTGCTGACGTCAACGAGACATTCGGCCAATTGAGCAGAGCTGCTCACAGAAGCTGTTCAATGGGATCTCCTTTTTCCATGGCATGATGGGTAAGGTCAACTTTGAAAGGTCAACATCAGAACTCCTTGAGATCTGCAGTCAGGTCAAACGGCATTCTGTTTTGGCATTGAGACTCTTTGGCGTATTCTTCTCCTGTGCCCGTCATATGCCTTGAGGTTATCTACACACGGTGTCTACTTCGATATCAGAAATTATAAACCTATTCAGCCTTGATTACTTGAGAGCCCTTAACCTCAATTCAGTGACATCATTGCAGAAATTCCCAAGGGTAATGTCGTAGCTCTAAACAGCCTCATCAATGATTGAAGTTTCTGAGTCCTAATGCAA